GCTAAGCAAATCAACAGATTTATAAATGCTTGCGACAATTTTCTCAATAACCATCGAGATAGAACTAATGAGGACGCACACATAAATTCTTGTCTTTTTGACACTATCCTTTGCAAATTAGTAGGCAGAGCCGCTGATTTAATAGCTTCTCGTGTTGAACATCAATCATGGGAACTTGTTAAACAAGCTGTCATTGACACATTTGGAGACCAAAGATCAATTGATTGTGTAGTGCAAGATATAATCACCCTCAAACCTTCCAAAAACGAAACCGCCCAAGAATTTGGCTTGCGTTTACAAAACGTACGCAGTCTCCTATTTTCAAAAATCAATATGAATAATGAAACTCGGGAGATCAAACTATTAAAAATATCAGAATATCAAAACCTTATTCTCAGAACATTCACTAGTGGCTTAAGCTATCACATGCAACTAGTGGTAAGACTTAAAAACCCGAAAACCCTTGAAGAAGCCATGAGTTTCGCTCAAGAGGAAGAAAATTTTATTTATTACGAAAATCGAGTCAATAATGAAAATAAAACGGTAATTAACAGTCCAAATCAATTACCCAAACCAACATTATTTTATCCAAACTTTAGAAACACACAGCGACATACATTAGCCATTTTCAGACCAAGCTTTCAAAATAATAGACCCATGTTTTTCCGTGCAAATCCAAACCCATTCTGACCTAATTTCAATCAATTTTCAAATTCACAAACAAATAACAATTTCAGAAATTTTCCAAGGCCGCAAATGTACAATTCCAATAATTTCGGGTCTTGCACTCCAACAAATAACAATATTTTCAACCGCAACTCGAATCAAAACAACAATGATCACAATCCTTATCAGAGTAATAAACGCCCACATCTTGTCTAGGTTAACTCCACCTGAACCCATGGATACTTCGTCGATGAATACGTTTATTAATAACTATAATAGTCAGCAAATTCCAAACTTTTCAACGCAGGCTATAGAACTCGATGATTCAACTAATCAAGATGAACAGATTGACTACCCTGTTAACCAATTTGGTGACTATCAATATTACTGTTTACAAAATGAACAAGACTACTCAGAAAACCCAAATACCCACTATGAATACCATCTCAATGAGGATTTCTATGAAAACCAACCAATACCAGACAGATGATTTTAATCAATCAAATGTCGATAATTGTAAAAATTTTCAGAAACCCTAGATTTCACCCCAGAAAACGTAATATTGATCAATAATATTTCAATAAACAAATTACCTGTCCTACACATTCCAGAAATTAACGCAAACTTTCTGATTGGCACAGGTAGCGGCAGAAGTTTTCTAAAACCTGATTCAGCTTACCAAATTTTCGCAAACACTATCGGTTCAGAACTATTCTTTGTAAAAACGGCACATGCCACTTCAATGCATGCAAAAATGGCCAGCCAATAGCAGTAGTCCTGGTGCTACTGCCAAAAACAAAAAAGGCCATCTTCGACGTCAGATCGCAGGGAAACCTAAGAGTCAGATTGGAATCCCAGCATGCTAAGAGTCAGCTGGCACAGTGCTTCCGGTGTCAACTCTATGGACATGGTCAATCCAAGTGTACAGCCGCCGCAAAATGTGTCAAGTGTGCGGCAGCACATGAATCCCGGGAATGTCCAGTTCCCCGGGAAAGGGCTGCAAGGTGCAAAAACTGCGGAGGTGCACACCCAGCCTCCATCTCCGGATGCCCTGCGAAACCTGTACAGAAGCAGTAGACAAGAAAATAAATTTCACCAACTCGCAGGGCAGTCTCCACTGTCACCACATCACAGCCACCAGTCGGCCAAAACAGCAGGAGCTACAGCAGTCCAAAATAACCTGCCGCTCCAGCAAACCCCCCAACGTCAACAAGGGGGCAAAAACGGCCATGAACAGCGGGCCCAAACCATCCAGGCCATGCAAAATAAAATGCAGACATTCATGGCCGCCATGCAAGCACAAATGATTGCACTTATGAGCAGTCATGTCTAGACTGCTCAGGCCCAAGTCTCTGTGTGTCATGTCTTGGAACGCCAACGGAGTGCAGAATACGAAAATAAAGCTCCAAGACTTTCTGGACAAATATAGTGTCGATGTGGGCCTAATCCAGGAAACCATGCTAAAACCTGGAGATAGGTTCACACTTCGCAACTATCAGAGCAGATAGGCCAACTAGGGGCGGAGGCACACTAGTCGCAGTGAAAAGGTCCATCCAGCACTACGAGATCGCCAAACCTTCGGCAAACCTGGGGGAATCCATACTGGCTGTCCAAATGGAAAAGTCTGAGATCAAAGTCGGGTCCGGATACGTCAGTTTAAATGCTTTTCCCAGATGACAGACCAATGATACATGGCGAGGACTTCAATGCCAAAAACACAAATTGGGGATGCAATTTCAACAACGCCAAAGGCAACATGCTATCAAACAAAGCCCGGAAAAATTTGCTTGAGATAGCTGCGGTGCAAGAACCTACGCACATCACCCAAAATGGCAGAGATGACATCCTGGACATATTCCTGTAAAAAATGCCGGAAGACTGTCCAGCCCCGAAGTACTTCAGGAATTGTCGTCGGACCATTTGCCGATACTCTTCCAAATTGGACCGAACCAAACCAACAGCATCACTGCGGCTAAAAGGATCACTAACTGGCAGATTTTCCAGAGCATAATGGAAAGCTCCAGCAGGATCCCTCAGCCCACTACAGAGGACGACCTGGACCAGGCAGCAGAAAGTCTCACCAGGGAAATTAAAAATGCCCTGGCAGCCTCAACAACGCCGATTGTGAAAACTGAACAAGATCACACTGTACATCACTACCTTGTACACTCCTAAATCATTTAATTTACAAGGGCAAAATTGGAAATGATACAAGTTTATTTTGGTAGGGCATAATAAATAATTTTTTTGATATATTTTTAATTTCAATTAAAGTTAAAGTTGGGTCTCCTAGTTCAATATAACTAATCTGAAACATAGTTGACAAGCAAGGTTTTTTAAAAAAATCCTTAATTATCTCGCATTTTCACCCTACTCCAACCAAATGCTCATTCAAAGATGCAAAATTGACTACCTCTTCAATCGATAAATCTTTAAGTTCCACAAAACGATCTGAAATTTTGGAAACATTGATTGTAAATAATGGAAAACTGTATACTTTGAATTGAGGGCTGGTACAACCGTTTAACAGTGGTCCTGAGGAATGCTCAAAAAATAAACCTGTTCTGCTCTTAACATTCGCCGCCTTGCGTTAATTTCTTTCCTCAATGGTACGCCTAACAACCTGTTGTATTGTTAATGAGGATTTTCTTACTTTTCTTGTTAGATTTGGCATTTAATTTTCAAACTTAAAACTGCTAAAATCATCAAGCTTTCCAAAACGTCTGACACAGTCAGCCAAATGAACAAGGCTATGAACATTTAAAGTGACAAAACCTGGTCCATAAATGTTAGTGCAATTTTTTATAAAATATCTTAGTAAATTATCAGCATAATTTCCAACCATTTCGCTATTACAAGAATGCCTTTTACTAATTAAAATTGAAATAGCCATACTTAACATAATAAAATTGTTGTACATTTCAACAGGTAAATAATCTTTTAAAATTACGTGCCCAATATAGAGAAGCAAAAGTCGGAACTCAGTAGCTTTAAATCGTTTACATTCTTAAGTATGTCCCTTGATTTGCTAGCAAATTCTCCAGGTATAAAAGAACGTAAGTTTTTTAATACTACATTCAGCCCTGTGCTGTATCACTCACGTTAACTTTAACGTGCATGTTATCCGTCAAACACGTTATGTGGCTCCAACTGGTGTGTTGTATCAGTAAAACCTTTATATTATAACAGGCTATAAGAAATAGCGCTTCAGAATAACAGCATCAAATCACATGCCGCTTTCGAACTTAACGTGCATCTCTCGAAGTTAACTTCGGGGAATAAATAAAGCAATGGTGTTTAATCAGAGCGTAGTTTTGTTTTTTAGCTAT